ACGTCCGCAAGGGTAATAAGCCTTCCGACGTAAATGACACCATAGGCTACGTTCAAATAAATAGGCAATGGGGCTTCAAGTTAAATGGGACGGTGTTCTTCGCATGCAAGCCGGATAACGTAATCGTCGTATGAAAGAAACCGTACCAAATTGTCTCCGTGCACCCGGACGTGGGCACAACTGCATATGTGAACTGCGCACCTTACATAAATCTAAGTGATTTATACATTCATAGTATGCCATCGTCCACTCTGCACATTTATGCTGCCAACGGTGTGTCTAATGAATTGAAGCGCTTTCCCATTCCTGAAATGTTATGCAAATGCGTTTCTTTCACCGTTGGTTTAGACGAAGTCATCATCCCATTGTTGCATACATTTCGAACGCAAACACCCAGGGATACGTAGATTTCCATTCATCGGTGCTATATGCAGTGATGACATGGCATGCGTCGTGCAGGATCTCGTTACATGTAGTGTTAACCGCTTCCGCCGGCTTTTCGGCCGTATCAATGGTGTGGTAATTCCATGACAACGGCCGGATTAATGAATTTGCTCCGCAAATCCTCCCAATTTGCGAGATAACTGAACGACATTGCACGCGGCACTGTTTACATCTCGCTAGTGCACTATGTCCGGTGGTAGCCTTCATTGTGTAGCGGAAATAAGGCATGCATATTATCTTCACTCTAATTATGACGCTTTCATTTTCCTTCTTGTTTCCCTTATCCGGAAACGCCAAAAAATGCAAAAAGTTTTGAAACCGAAAAAATTTCAAAAGTTTTGAAAACCCAAAAAATGTAGACGATTTTGACAACACACACTCAGCTTCCCCTGTTTCTTGGCGCCCACGGCATCCGGTAAGTGCCATTGTTTATGTTGTCCTTGTTATCAAATGTCACTGCACTAATTTCCCTTGCACTTACGAACAGGGCAAGATGAACCGTAGGAGAACTTGGGACATTCAGGTCCTGAGGAACCTTGGACGCCCACGAACTTGCTTCATTTTGTGTTTTTGGCACCATTAGGGAGGACACGAGTGGGAGCCCGCTAGGGTCCGATCGCCTGGTTCTCCCCCAGCAACTGCATTAGGTTTCACCACCTGGTCTTGCACAAGGCTGGCCCGCGACGGACAGTCCTCACGTAAATCTAAGGGTCACCTACCGCTTCTCTTCCTAGAGGGGCGTGTGTAGTGACCTGGAAATTTCCCCCGGTGTGATTGCGTAAATTAATGTAAACCAGTTCAAACGTGTAGTTTTTCATGTAATAGGGTATTAGGCGGTTCGCTTGTCCAAGCTGTTTGAGCCCCTTTGTTTGAGGCACCAATACCACATGCATCCTTGCCTACCGCGACCCGCACTGGCAGCTACATGCATGCACGCACTCCAAAAGCAGATACATATTCCTTAGCTCGCTCTCCTCTGGTGCCTTATTTTTAGCATTAGGTAACTGTTCCGCCGTTAAATTAACCTTTTCCATAGATTACTTAGGTGTGTTCTATCTGTAGCATGTGGTTGGCTGTGTTGCCCTGTTTCGTGCCAGTGCGGTGGCATCCAGGAGCGGAATGCACGCGGTAATCACGCATGTCATTGCTTCTATAGATATGCCACTTTGGGATTTCTGCGTGGTCAGTTACACGCACAACGAGGTACCCCAAGTAGGCACAATAAGCAGCAGGTGGCTGTTGGAAGACGGGCAGCATGGCATTTTGCCCAACCTTCCCCTCTTCGAATACCATCAGGGGGTGAGGGAGCACAGATACCCCATTTCGGGTTGAAAAATGATCCCCCTGACCGTGCTTCATCGTACAGGTAAGCACATTCATTTAATCAATTGCAGTGCATTTCGATGATGCCCGCCGCGTGGACAGGTCGTTCGCGGATCAACCTTTTGCTACGGACACCGATTGCATCATCCCCATGCAAACATCGCCGAAACGAGTTATGTAATGCGCTACACAAGTAATAACGCAATGCATTGCAGACGCCTGCCAGCTAGACTACGGGACTCTGTGGATGATAATTTCCCCACAAATAAACGACGCACCAACGTTCCCGCAGCTGCAAGCTATGGGAAGTATCCCGATTTCTCCTTGGAGTAGTTGCCGCGTGCTTCCCCGCATACTCATAATCTTGATGCTGTCGAGGAAAATGCCGACATGCGTAAGTTCTTATTATGTATGAAAAGGTTACTGTGATGTGCGTGTTCCGCAGCAGGTCCGTCTAATCAAGTTGCCGTTCAAACTGAGCCTATCACATGCTGTAAGTCTTAACGTTCCTCACTTTAGATACACGCCCTGGCAGGCAGGTGTCATGAAACGGACAACAGGGTTATGCACACATTGCACGCTGTAGCAGGTATGGTTGAGCTTCTTACTTGCAACAACTTCTACGCAGATGAACTTCGCATGCGGGAGCAAGACCGCAATATGCTACGCAGCGTACTTGGTACGTGCCCCCTGTCATGCGCATTACGCAAACATTTATCAGATTCCTTTAGGCGCGTAGAGAAAACACTTCAAGTGTTGAAGAAGAGCCATGCGTCAATGCGCCAAGCGATGTGGAATGCAAGGCCGATGCAAGCCACGGAGTTAACCCTACCAACCTCCAACATTGAGGAATTACTGGAGTTGGAGGGCAAATTAGTGGACCCCGAACTCCGGCCAGAACTGGTAAGTCACGTTCGCGCAATATGCATTAATGACTTAGACTACTCACATGCAGTCAACACCCGCCGGTACGGTATCCGTGGCCGTTCGGTATATGCTGGACAGGGTGATGAATAGAGATGTCTTGCGTCAGTTTAACTTTGCCGGTGCAAACAACGCAATACCTTACAAGAAACGTATACATTTAGTGCGCTTCAAGGTAACTCAGATAACCTTTTCCACATTACCTTCTTTCGCAGAAATCATCATTAACCGGTTCGGGTGTACGGGCAACGCCGTGGCGAACCGTGTTTGCAAATGGCTACAAATTATCCGGAGCAACCTGCACCGACGTACATCTGCAACATCTAGCAGTCTAGATTCCCAGGTACTATGTACTATTAATGCCGTACCTAACGATTTCCTTTACAGGCTTTGGAAGTTATAGATTTGGACGGCCAATGCATCCAGAAACCACCGACAACCATTTAAATATTTCCTTTGATAATATTATATATATATATATATTTGTAACACTTTCCCGTGTGCTTCAATTTGTTGCCCGGTAATTTCGTATATAGTATACCTCTGACGAACCATCAGCTCAGTCAGTCCATGGACTTTTCTGTTACAACACAACAACAACAAGCGACATCAAGCAGTTCGTAGAGGTTCGATTCGGAAAGCATAGTACCAGCGATGATGTCCGCAATGTTCGTCGTCAAGTGCTACCTGGCGTTAAGTGAAAGGATATCTTGATGTTTTTCACTACCTGCAGTAAAATTGCATCCGGTCATCAAGTCTATGGAGGAAGATGGAGTTGCGCGAATTATTTCAGAGAAAGGCCAATGCACACACGTATTACTCGCTCGGCATCAACAAATAGAACTGTTCCGCCGATTCTCGCATGTCGTTTGTGTGGACGACACTCATGGCACTAAGCGTTTGAAGTGGCATTAGCTGTCGCTTGAAGCTTCAAACTACAACAATTTTTCATAAGTGACAGGATGGGTTACGGCCGGCCAATATTTTATGCGGTTCTGCGTCGGGAAGAGTACGCATCTTTGCTTACATTGTTCCAATCGTTTCTGGATATTATGGGTCATGATATTCCCGTCAGCACAATTATGATGGACAAAATGGCTGCTCAAATACGTGCAGCGCGCGGTTTTTCAATGCGACATTTTGTTGTGCTACTTTCACATCCGCCAGGCCATCAGGAAGCAGGTAAGTAATAATTCGTCGTTACATTCAGTAGACAAACAGTAACCGGTCGCGTTAGCTATTTCGTCGCATGGCAACCTCGGACACGGAGACCCAGTACAATCTCTCGCTATATGTAATATTCTTGTCTTAGATTTCAACAACAGTTACAGCTCCTTCAACGAACAGACCCCCGGTCTGTGCGCTACCTTACATCACACTGGTTGTATATAAAACGCTTGTGGGCGAAACACGCCCAAGCTGTATTGGTGTACTTTGGAAATACAACAAACAACCGAGTTGTGAATGTCAACTTGCGGCTGAAGAAAGTTACCCACGCAGCCGTTCGCAAAGTCTGGGAGCATTCGGAAGTTCTCCTGAAAGTCCCAGATGCATGCGGCGTGTTTTTGTGACAGGCGTCAGCTACTAAGAGGCAGTGCATACGCTCATCGCGTAGTTGGTCTCCTAACTACGTAGTGATGAGCCATTTAGCACAACCCACGTTACAACCAGTTTACTCGGACCTTAGAGATGGAATGGTAGGTGAATAAAGATTGCTGACGCCTCCATTGTTTGAGATATCTCACCAGAGGAACCGTTTCACTATCTATTGATGCTTGGGAACATGTACCTGTCCATGTTAAGAAACCATGTGGCTGCCTCGTGCGCATTTAATGACGGCATACAAGCAGCTTGCGTACCCGACAAGTAAGCCGTTTCTGATGTGTGCAGCCATTTACAGGTCAAATACCTATTTGCATACCCTGGCTGGCGGACTACAACCTACACACAGAGTCCATGCCGTTGCGGACGTTAAAAGTTCCCGTTACGAAACCAACCACGTCTAAAATCGCACATCTTGTCGATCGTCTGAGAAGTGCTGAAGAGGTTAATCCATCCGGATTTTCGGAACTGTACCAAAAGCTTCTGCGAAGGACCAACGAAGTAATTGGTGGTTCAACCGACTTTCAACGTGCAAAGAAACAACCGCGTTGGCCGAAAACTATGGCGTCCGCAGATTTGTGTTTCACATGCAGCAAACCTATTGTGGTTGACGCAATTCGCTGTGCACACAATCGGTTACTTTACCATCGAAAGTGTCTGCGTGTGCAATCAGGAGCCCGTTATACGATTTGTGTCAACGCTTCACAAACGGCATCTGTGGCCATGATGGTAGTGCCCAGCTATACTACCGATAAGAAAGAAAATTTATCCTTCGATATTTAGCTATTGGCCGTTCACCTTCACCAGATTTCACAGATGCCACTACCCCATCAACATGCCCTGCATACGAAGGGAAACGACAGCCTAGTACAACAATTTCCCGCGCAGGCAGTCAGGATGAGATTTCCGCAGTTCCGAGTACAAGTCAACAAACCGCATCCCATCATATAATATCTGCACTTGGTATTGATCACATTTCCCTAATTTCATCGATACGTTGTCGAAGGAGAGTCGTCGAGTACATCGCAATTAGCGGTATTGTGCAAAATGCAGTGACCCAGTAAGCTATTCTCCACAATTTAAACTCCCTTTTCACTTTAGTGTAGCGTCAACATGGATGCAAGCTCAGTAAAATAAACGCTGAGAAGGAAAAAACTTGTTCAGATAAAAACTCATTTAATTACCTGAGGGTAGGCTGTACCTCCACACTATTATTATATCGTAGCCGATGAATACGACTTTGTGTAATAATACACTGCAGGGGACATGCGCGTCCAAGGCACGTATTTAGTGAACAACGCTGAACTTTTACTCATACTGCTTTCTGATCACTACAAAGCACAGTTGTTATCGCGGTTTCTGCGCTCATTCAGAATGTAAGCGTTTCTGACAATTAGCTGGATTAGCGGCACATTTGGTGCCAATGTAATAGGAACCAGGTGGGTAGTAATAGCACTCGGTTCCGAAGCTCCTGCTCATAGCATAGATGCTAATTTCGCAGCACCTTTGGTGCCAATGTAATAGGACCAGGTGGGTTGTAATAGCACTCGGTTCCGAGGCTCGTGTTCGCAGTATAGAAGTGCGAACAGTGGCACCAAATGTGTCATGGTAAGTGCAGCATACTGAGTCCAAACATCGCCGGTACCTTTCTCAATCGCTTCGGCACGATGCCCGCAAGTGTGGCACAAGTAATCAAAAACTGGTTGCGCAATGTGCGCCAAAGAACAACCGCAGATGTCGTAACTGGAACCTTTCTTACCAGCCAAGTACGCTACAGGAACAGCTTTAACAATAACCGCATTCCTTTGCAAGCAACCGATTTACAGACGCTTGAAAGTGTAGATGCGCCTTAAATCATAAGCATCTTTGTACATCGCATCTGCTCCTTTGTAGTTAATACGGACTGCCTATTGCTCATTGTGTTACGCTGATATGTATGGTGTTGTGGCGGTACTGGGTCACGGCTAACAGCTGCGTGTTTCACCAGCATTTATCTTCCCCGTCTGTAGACCTCAGAACCTTCTGCTGCACTATGTGTCCACGAGTATTTCGGACTTCTAGTGGATTACACCGGCACCGAACAGCGCATCTTCGGAACCCGACGGGCTTCCTAGCTTCCGCAGCGGTAGCGAATATGTCCAATTTTAAATGCCAAACTTGTCGGCGAATCTTCACGACGAAAATCGGACTATCACAACATCGCCGGCATCGGCATCCTGTCAGCTATAATGCCGATTGCCTCGCCCGCCTCCCCGAACACGGGTACCGTTGGAATCCCAGGGAGGACCGCGTACTTCTCTCCAATGCCTCCCGCCTAGTGCAGAGTTCTACCTCACGCGACGCCCTAATGGCACGCTTAAGTGGAATCTTTACCTATCGTACAACTGAGAGTGTCCGCAAACGATTGCAGTACCTGGGATGGAACTATGCGGATCACCGCACGAGTTCGAGACCCTCAACCTCCACATCCCTTCTTCCACGAACCATCCTAACACCGGCTTCCGAACGCTACACCCCGCGACTCACCCCGTCCCCCACTTTATCTCCATCTTGCGGGGGATCTCCAACAACGACCTTGACGACCCAAACAACCGTCTCTTCACCCACTCCGTCGGATATAGCGGCCGACCTCGACCACTCTCCTATCCTAACACAGCCGTCCAGAGATTCGAGTAACCGAATTGACAGCAGCCACCACATTTCGACACAAACTGCACTCGCAATGACGCCTAAGACCTTGCCAACGCGACTAGAGACAGGCCGACTACCACCCCCCATAAACCCCGCCTCTACCGCGGAGCTGCCCGCGTCTCTCTCACCGAACGAATCTCCAGAAGTGTCATCTTCGGCACCTCTAACTCCGGCGCCCGCTACGTCCCAAGATTCCACTGCCATCTTTCGGAATCTTCTTTCCGCCGCCAAGGAGCTTGCCACCAAATGTCCTTCACCTGAGAAATCGGAACACGCCTCCCTCCGAGAATTGGTGACCGTGCATTCTACTGACGACACGCCACAACGCTACAGCGAGGCATTGAACGAACTGCTTACTCGGATCTTTCCACATCGCTGGAGGCCTACGAAGCGACGCGCGCGTCCAGTCACTATACGGAATAACCAACACCGGCGAAGGCTGCAATATGGTCACATTCAACGACTGTACCACACACGCCGTAAAGATGCAGCCGCTACTATCATCGAGGGCCGGTGGCGCGACGCCTTTCTAGGAGAGGAAGAAAAAATTCCAAATTTCACCGAGTTCTGGAAAGACGTTTTAGCCCGACCCCCAGCCGCCGACACTCGGGCACGTCGCCTTGTGACTCCAATCAACGCAGACCTCGTGCAACCCATCACTTGTGAGGAAATGCGTCGGGTGCTAACCAAAATGCAGGGATCCGCCCCTGGGGTAGACCGCATTACGCCCGCGGACGTCGCCCGAATGAATCCCCTCTTCGTTGCCTCCCTACTCAATTGCCTTCTCGCCTCCTCTCCATTCCCACCCCATATGAACGTTGCCAGAATTACCTTTGTCCCCAAGGTCCAACAACCCCATACTCCTGATCAATTTCGGCCCATTTCCGTCTCCTCTGTCTTCACCCGTCTCCTTCACCGAATTCTCTTTGATCTCAGGGCCCTAACCTTTCCGCCCGAGCGCCTACAATTTGGATTTCTCCGGAAAGACGGCGCATTTGAGGCCCCTTCCATTCTTCACGCGGCACTCCGTCATTCCCACTCCTCGATTTCCACCCTCTCCTTTGCTTCCTTGGATGTGTCAAAGGCGTTTGACTCCATCTCACATGAGTCCCTCCTTCGGGCGGCGGCAGCTTTCGCGGCACCCCGATTCCTACGCGACTACCTTTCCTCGTATTACGGATCTGCTAACTCAACGTTCAACGACATCGAACTCCACCCACGTCGTGGAGTTCGTCAGGGTGACCCGCTTTCCCCCCTACTCCTCATCATGGCGCTGGACGAAGCCTTGGAAGAAGCCGTGACCGACCCATGGATCTCCCCTGCGGGTCCTATTAATTACTTAGCTTATGCCGATGACGTCATCATTTTCGCAGAAGATTGCCAAGCGCTTAAAAAGCATATACTACGTCTAGAACAACGACTGCTGCACCTCGGCCTCTCCATCAATCACCTGAAATCGTTCGTGGTGAATATTGTGACCGACGGAACACGCAAGAAGACGATTCTCGACAACGCTGACCTCGACTGCGGCGCCTTTTCCATAAGATCCCTTCAACCTGATGAGAAATTCACGCTCCTTGGGCTGAGATTCAATTGGAAGGGCGAGCTGCCGCCCGCTACTGTCGATGAGCTCAGCACCCAACTCCAAGAGGTTACCAAGGCGCCACTTAAGCCGCAACAGCGTCTAGAGATCCTCCGCACCTTCCTGCTACCCCGGCACGTGCACCAACTGGCCCTCGCTGTGGTGCATCGTAACACGCTGAAACGGTTGGATCGAATAGTCCGTGCTGCTGTTCGCAAATGGATACGCCTACCCTCTGATACCTTCACCGCTTCCACGCCTCAATTGCGAATTTTGGACTCGGCATCCCATGTTTGTCAACCAGCATCCCGCTAATCCGGAAGGATCGACTAGAGAAACACCTCGCACATAGCCACCCGATAACACATTGGGCGATTCGGGACCCTGCAGCGGCGGCAATCCATCGTCTTGCACGTTCAACTGTCACCATCTCAAACCGCGTCGTCATGGATAAATGCTCTGCAGCAGCGGCCTGGAAGGACGCCCTCTTGTCTTCCGCAGACGGCTCCTCATTGCGGGAAGCGGAGACAGTGCCTCCGGCGCACCAGTGGCTACGCAATCCTACGAGGATCTTCCCACGCTTATTTATCCGCGCTACTCACCTTCGTGGTGGACTCTTGTCGACAAAAACGCGCCGATCCCGTGGCCGACTGCCCCCCGACCCCACCGAGCTACTTTGTCGGGGAAATTGCGGTCAGAAAGAAACCCTCTCACACGTCCTGCAATCGTGCTGCGTCACACATGACGTTCGGTGCCGTCGTCATAACAACATAGCCGCCGATATCCTGTCGAAAGCGCGCCATCACCAACTCCACACAATCGCCGAACCGCGTATCCCGACCACAACCTCTTTCATCAAGCCGGATATGTTTATTCTTCGCGACTCACAAGCACATGTGATGGATGTTGCAATCTGTGACGCCGACAGAATGAAACGAACTTACCAGCTTAAGCTCGATAAATACGGAACAGGTCCGAACACAACGGCCATTAATAATTTTGTACGAACAAATTTCCCTGCTGTTACCAAAATATGCCACCATCCCATTATACTGAACAACCGCGGCATGCTTTATCCCGCTTCTGCCAAACACCTCATGACATTGGGTTTTACTAAAACCGACCTATCAGACCTGTGCTTTTCCACCATACGCCTATCAATCAAAGTATATGACATATACATGCACGGTGCATCGCCGAATTACTCGTAACACACACTTACACAAACATGGTGAAAATCAATGTGGTTCCGCCCACACTGCATGAAAATTTTCTTTCATTCGGTGTTTATTATTCCGCCGGGGCGTTCGCCCTCTCTTGGCACATTGCTGTAATGCCCAATTCTCGGGCCATGCATGCTCTCTGCCAAAAATAAATGTTCCTAGACAGGACGAATCCTGCAACGCATTTCAGCCAGCTGCGCAGAGCGTAAGTGGAGCGACATAGTCTGCTAGTATGCTGTAATCGGATTATTCGGGTCACTGCAATCTGATTGGTTGATGCAGTCTAGCGACAAGTTTTCCACTCTCATTGGCTGCCGATGAACGGCAAACCTGACGCCTAAGGCAATTGAGCCGTTTACGGAGCTGATTCCTCTCAAGCCCAGTTGGAGTGCGATTCGTCAAAGATCTACTCGGGAACGACTCACTGCGGTAGGTGCGCGCGTAGCGCAGCGGTGCGTGCGTCCACGCCGCACAGTGACCATTCATGCTCCGCTGGTGTGTCTGTCGTCCATCGTTTCACCTGGCTTTCTGATTGGACACGATAGAAAGTCCTTCACTGTGTACTTAATGAAGCTGCAGTGAAAGGACAAATTTCGCTTTTAAACTGGTCATCCAAGTCCTTCAGCAAGGATCCGTCAGAGAGGCGTAGTCGCAGCACCGTTACCTCGTGAAATCTCGTACGAAATGTAGTCCTTTTATGACATGATTCCCGGCTCTTTCTGCCTTTGCAGTTCTATTCAATTGTGTGCAAATGTGAAATTGCATTCGTTTAAACGTGTTGCAACCAAGATACACGGAAGGAACAGTATTTCGAATGCGTACGCTGTAGTGTGGAACTGTGTGATCGGAGGTCGGAAAAACTTGTGTGGTTTCGGTACGTTCCGTGGTACAAATTGTACATAGCAACGGTTGCGTAGCGACATTGCCAAGGTGGCTGAATGTGTAAAAATGGTAAACTAGGTTTCAGATGGCTTGGGAAATGACATTGTATTTGAGTTACGATGCTGTAGAAATGATACCCTGTATTGGTGCATGTGCGAGTGTTTGTTTTGTTTTTTCGGTCGCCATACTGGTTTTTCCTGCTATCGCCATGGTTGTGGATGATAGTGAGCTGTTCAGGTCTATGGTTATTGGGAAGTATGAAAGTGTTGAGGACCTTGTGAAGCGGTTGGAACGTTTTCAGATTGCGACGGCGACTTGTTTTTCCCGTGCATCTTCCAAGTCTGCTGCGGCATACCATCGTGGAAGGAGGAAGCCGGTTCCCGATGGGGAATGCTGCGGTTACATCATGTACCGTTGCGTTCATCGTAAACGTCCAGGACCACGTGGCAAGCGGTAAGTTGTGTAATTTCTTTGCATCAAGACTACTAACGCCTGTAGATACAAATCGTACGATTGCAAGGCTCGGTTCTCCGTGGTTTTTAAAGATGGGAAATATGTCGTGGGGAGTTACGTCATGACGCATAGTCATGATTTTCACTTGGGCAACCCATGGTTGTATGCACCGAACCGTCGTCTTTCTCAGGAGCAAGAGAGGGAAGTTCTGCGTTTGATGGATAGTTTCCATAGCACCCCGGATTTGCGTCGTTTTATTTACTTGGAGTACGGAAAAAGGGTAACTCGTCTTGACCTGTATAATTTGCGCATTCGTCATCGGAATGCGAATGCTTGTGAAGTGTCAGACGTGGCAACGATGTTGCAAGGACACGGTGCGTGTCGGTGGGTGTCGGAGGGTAGTCAGATACGTTATGTTTTTTTCTCTCCATCGTTAGTTGGCGGCATTGTAAATCGTTATGGTGAGGTGCTGTTATGCGATGCCACCCATCAACTGAATTATGGCGGCTACATTTTGTGGCACTGCATGCTGGTGGATGTCACAAGTCTGGGTATTTCCTTTTTCTACGCCCTATTACCGGATGAGACATCCTACAGCTATGGGCAAGCGGTTGAGGCGATGCGGGATATGGTGCCTAGCACCTTACGTTGCCACACAGTGGTGATGGATAAATGCGCCGCTCAGATCCGCGCGTTCAGACGATTTTATCCGAACGCAAAGGTGGTTTTCTGTCGTTACCACGTTAAAGTGGACATGTCTCGACGTTGCGGCCGCTTACGCGGGATCTCTGATCCGCGTAGAATGCAATTACGAGGTTGGCTCCATAACCTCATATACACTCGTGACGCCTCGGTATTTGAAAGGATATTGAACGCGGTGGGCAGGGCGTCTCCTGAATTGTACGGTTATTTGTGCGCGACGTGGATTCCCCACGCGGACTCTTGGGCGGCGCACAGACTCAGGGATACTGTTCTTTTTGGTTGCCACACCACGAACAGGGTAGAGAATGAAAACAGACATTTGAAGGAATACCTGTCGGAGAGGTCCTCCCTACTCACCCTGTTCAATTGCGTGGTTGATAGGGTGAACACACTGGTGCACCAAAGGAACAGCATACTAGGTAGGCGGTGCATGAGCGCAATTGCTGTTCCATCTGAGGTGTCCTCAGTGGCTTCCGTATTCTCCAAACTAAGCGACTTTGCGGGCGATGTTTTCATGCAGCATTTCCGTACGTCGACGGTTCTCAGTTGTAGGGCTGATGGGCCTTACTGGTTGGTTACCTGTCCTCGTTCGAGAGTGCGTCGAGTGTACATAACGCGGGGCAGTGAATGCGATTGTGAGTTTAATCGGCAGTGGCGGCTGCCATGTGCTCACATTTGTTATGTGGCGGCGCGTCACACTCACGCTGCGCGGAACATACTCCATGGATGTCGCTGGATCGCACCCCGGCTACCTTCAGCAGTGTCATCGGAGTCCGTTGCGTCAGGTGAGAGGGTGCAGATTGTGCAACGTAACGCGGTGGATGGCGATGCAGTTGTGAACCGCACGGTGAAACTTCGCAGGACGCAGCATGTATTAGGGGACATTGGCGCTCAATTGGTTACCTACGGATCGCAGAACTTCTCTGGTGCGTTGAATTACCTAAAAATGGTTGCGCTGCTGATGTCGAAGGACGCCACTTTTCAGTTGTATGGGCGAACGTCAAGGTGGCCTGTACCCCTTCATTTGGATACCGAGGAGAACGTGCACATCTTATGCGGCTTGCCTACTGCGGGGACGTCTGATGGTGGCTCAGCCTCTGCGGTATGCCCGACGTCGACAGGAGAAGCGGTTGGACCTTCGCAAGGTACGCAGGTGAATGAGGTGGTGCGTGCGAATGAAACGGAAACACCTGTTCCATCGACATCCACAGGTGTGTCCAGGAAACGAAAATCGCCCCTTAAGTGCAGGGTGACAGAGGTTAGCCCGGATAAGAGTGCCCTAAGGGACAAACGATTCCGTAACCTTCGCACTCGGACATCCACGGGCTACCGGGTTCCTGTGAGACAGAAACGGGGAAATCAGGGCTTCCTTTCGGAGGATTTATGCGGAGTATGTCAGCAGGAGGACGATGTTGATGGCCATGGAGATTCGGTGCAATGGGTCCAGTGCGACGCGTGCTCCCACTGGTACCACGCGTCCTGCGTGTGCTATTCGGGTGCGGACGAATTTCTGTGCTTCTCCTGCTCGTCCTAGTGTAACCCTAACGTGCCTGACCGCGGTTGCATGCCACACGGCTCAGGTATGTACCTTATCTGTGCCCTTACCCTGAGTGCATTTCCCTTACAGCATGCTGTGTTTACTTTTCCCCTTGATATCAACACCTTTGAATTTCAATGGAACAATGCGGCGAGAGATCTGCAGCACGGAGGAAACATTGTGCAACGGTAAGTTACTCCTAGTATTTCCGTTACGGACGGTCCTTTAGGCACCGTAATTCGGTTGTCATGTATGCAGCGGAAATCAATGGCAGGGCATGTGTTCCCACGTACCGGTAGGTACTTAGATAAATGTGTGTTACCCATGCTTACAGGACGTAAAATTTCCTGGAAGCATCCTCACAGTTATTCCTTCCGTTGCTTCATGGTTGTCGTTTATCACGGGAACGCGTACACACGGAGAAATGTTATTCAATTTCGCGCTGTCATATGTCATCGCAGGTAAGAATTAGGATGCATGTTTAATGTTGTCCTGCAGTTGAACCCACATGTAACGCCGATAGTGTGCTCATAAACGTGGGACACGGAGCCACCTAGTGTATGGTTATACATTACTATCGAAATTCAGTCGCAAGTCGCCGCGATCGTTGGAAGAGGCAGTAGACATCGCAGTCAGCTGTGAAGGTGCTGAACAATTACATTCAGACCTACGAGGAACTTCCTTGGTCGAAGCCACCACTGTCACTTAATCAGTTCATGCAACACATGTCTATCCTGGAAGTCACCAACGGAAGGACTCACGCGACCGTCAGAACTGCCCTTACTGTCGAAGGTTCGGTACCAGAGCCCAGCGATGAAGTAATAACCCGCCCCTGAAGCCACGAAAAAGCAACGGTGAGTCCCCTTCAATCTCCGTGTTACCGGTATGTTTATCTACGTACAAAGTCTCTGTCCCCTTTTACAATGCCCGGTCTGATAGACGGCCACCAAGCCCAACTACTAATTGATATAGGTGCCACATGCTGCGTTCTACGAACAAACTTTATCGGTTGTGCAACTAGAGTAGCGCCAGGTTCACACACAGTAGTCAAAATCCTTCAAAAGTGCTTTAGTCCTTCAGTAAATTATTGATGGCTACTTAATCTACTCCGTATTCCAGCGAGGGGTGCACATATATGTGTAGATTACGTTAACTGATAAATAAGGATAACATTGTTTAACCGCTTTGTTCTGTCGAAAAATCGTAAAGATTTCTTAGAAAGAGTCATCTTCCCTCTTTTTGAATTTTGCCGCACACTTAATTTTTTAGCTTCCTCCGGCACTGCTCGGTTTGGTTACCAATTCTGCTTCGCTGTACTGGACTTTCTTTTTCGTTGTGCATTTTCGACAGCTCAGAAACAAGTTTGAGTTGGTAAGAAGCCGTTTTGACGTGGGTTAGATATAAGAAGCACCATAAGTGTTTTTATTATAATAATATTGCAAACATAATTTGTTCAGCTTGGTTTTATTTCCCAAGCTTGTGCGTTGGTTTGCCCTAGCTGCTATCGCCCTAACGCACAGGTTGCGCATTGTTATCTTCACTTGCGCAATTACTCGTGCTCTACGTAGATAGCTTCATTGTGAGCTTCTTTTCTCTTTTGCAGGGCGCATTCGCTTAGTGATATCGGTAGCGACATTGCTGGACGTTTCGGTATTTTTACTCATGAAGGTCTTTTTATATGTACGTTGCCACCTTGAACATAACGTTTGATGTTCAGCAACTTTAATGAGACCTCGGTGTACAAACCGACAATGGCCTCTCATGCTGCCTAGTGACCGCACATTGCGGGATCGGTATTTGCGCGCGAAAAGACGACTCGGACAAATTGATCAAAGGGATCGTCCTGTGGAGGGTAAGGAAAATGAGATCCCAACGCCTACAATGTGTGAACCGTTACTAGATACCGGTAACTTGTAATCTCCCTATGTTATTGCCGATTACCACATATAAGAAACAACAGGGCGTTTGCGCACAAATGACACACAGGTACAACGAAGCCTGCGGAACGCCGTAGCACAGCGGAGTACAACGACAGTGACAACCGTTGGTAATGGTGTATGAGTTTCATCGTCAGAATTGGTAGTGGAGCAATCCCTTAGCTGCAGGGACGCCGATCGGATTGCAACCACTGATGTTATGGAAGACTTAAGACAATGAGTGCGAAGCACATGACCCAGCATTTCTGCCGTGAACAAGTTGCTTGCCGCCCTTCGCAAGAGCATGCCTTGGATACCGAAAGATTACCGAACGCTTGTGAGAACCCCAAGGAATGTGCAGACCATTAGCATTGGTGCTGGTGCACATGGACATATTGGGCTGCTGCGGAGTCTACGCAGTATTTACCAGGATGGAGACATCCAGCCGCCAGAAAGGGTTGTTGTCCAGCTGCACATAGATGTTCTCTCCCCGTTCAACTCCTCGAAAGTGCAGATCTGACCGATTCAGTGTCGATCTATTTACTCCGTGAAGTCAAAACCATTTGTTGTCGGTGTTTACGGTAGTCCTGAGAAATCGGATGTGAACGAATTTTTAAGTCCGCTGACACTTGATTTGCAGGTGTTGTTGTCAACGGGTTACACGGTTTCTGCACGATCCAGGTCCATATCTGTTGAATTAAGGGTGTTATATGCGGCGCGCCTGCTCGAGCATATGTGAAGAGGACGAAGGGGCACACAGGATACAGCAGTTGCGGCAAATGCATTCAGCGAGGTAGTTATGTCAACCGGAAGGTTACCTTCCTATCTACCACATGCGCATGGAAGAAATTGAAATTGCCCAATGATACATTGCGTGCTATAGATTATCTATGGCTGCAAAATAGGACTGCATGGTCATGTGATTTCGCTCGGTGTTGCAGAGGTATATCTATGTTTAAAGGTTGGATAGCAGCGGAATTTAGGCAGTTTGTTTTATACGCCGCGCCTGCAATGTTGATAAACGTGCTACCGGGAGATTAGTACGACAACTTTTTACATCGTCATCTAGAAATATACATTTTCTGTCACCCGCTGTTGCATAAGCAGTACTGATCTTTCGCGAAGCGGTTGATGCTTAATTGCATACACGGGTACTACCGCCTGTACGGGAAAGACCAGATAACGTTCAATGTTCACTGCCTAAACCACCTAGCATTGGACGTGGATGTGCATGGAACGTTTGATGATTTCTCCGCATTTTCATTCGAGTCTTATACAGACGTCCTGAAGCGAGTAGTGCGAAACGCACGGAACCCCGCGGCGCAGATTGTGAGACGGTGCTTAAAATATGCGGACGTCTCCAGTTTATCGCATTGGCCTGAATCTCAGAGTACTCACATACAACATCGTGGATTAACACGTCGTGAAGTGTTGATTCTGGATGGTACAACGTACGCATGCAGCGCACCTGATAACGTGATCATTGTATCTGATTACCTGTATTGCACTGTCCGGTTTAACCATATAGGCTCAGACTATTGTTTGTAAAGCTTTCACAAGCGTGCATGCGTTGTACCATCTCCGGATACCTTCTTCCGTTTGCAACATATTTGCAGCCTCAGGCATCAGCGATGATCTGCAAGCATTCCGTGTGGGCGATATACTTTGCAAATGTGTGTGTTTCGCTGTTAATGACCTCTTAGCTATTGATCCCCTGTTGCATACCTTTAGAACTCCGGATGGTAATATGTGAAGTATTGTGCACGTTCAGGGTCCCTAAATGTTCATGTTTACTTTGCTCTACTTGTGTTTCCTTCCATGGATTTTCTGACCATTTATTTTAATACCTGTAATTAGTGCTTATTTCCTTGGACTGATTTTTTAATGTCTCCTTATTTATCTGTGGACTTGGGATTCTTTCTCAAAGGGTTGCACTTATCCTGCTACACGAGTTCCTTAGTACCTCATTATGCAGTGTGATCGCGGGGCGTCCATTACAGATTGACATGTTTAAAATAACTTCATGTACTGGTAGCCTGGGTTGATCGTTCCTGGGTTCAACTGTTCGCCGAGCTTCGCACTTGGTATGCAAACGTTTCATCACCATGCGAGGTGACTTCCTAAGTGCGCTGCAGAGTCAAATGTAATCCGTTGACTTGGTCGTCGATTTGTGATTGATTAGCAAGTGACTTTTGAATTGACCTCAATCGATGCCCCGTGACCATCCGTCTATCTAACTTCTCCGGTAGATATGGGCGTTCCGTAGAATGATTTTGCCCCGGCTGTTGCGGCTGTATTATTAACAGCTCGGTTAGCTGCTCTCGTCGGTTTTAAGTTGTTTTAATTCTCTCCGTCTTAGCGATTCGTAAACCGGATCAGTCTCGACGTGCATGTTTATCGAGTGCTTCGTCGAGTATAATGCCACGAGGAACTCTCTTCCTTTTCGTGTCTCTCCTTGTGCTAGGATCTCTGCGTTGTTCCAATCGAAGTGATGTCCTTCTTCGTTTGTATGTATGGAAACTAGTGAGAGAACGTAATGGTTCTTACAAGCTTTCTTTTGCTCTTGTACTCTTGTAGACAGTTGTCTTCCTGTCTGGTCCACATAGTTCTTATCGCAATCTTGACACCGAGTCTTGTACACAACATTTCGTCTTTCGTGTGCTTTAGATCTAGCATTGGCTTTTGACAGGGTTCTCCTTCATCACCGTTCCTACAAACGATTGGAATGACATTCACCGTAAGCATGTACTTGAGGTATTACTAGTTTCCTGCAGGCGAAATGGACCAACTAAAGAATAAACTGGAGTCCATAGATGGTAACTTCCTACATTTCTGAAACAGGGTATACATTTGCAGGTAATGTTCGGAAAATTGTGGAGACACTGGAGTATGTGAAGTGTTGTATGAGATCGATGGCTGCGACCATTGCCGGGCAACAAGGGCAGCAGGCAACGCAGCTTCCTTTGCCAAGTACATCGGGGGAGGAACTATATTTGTTCGACATACTAATGCAGGATGCAGGCAACAATTGGTAGGATTCTTTGATACCTCACATATGCATGCAGCATACTTATCTGGAAGGTGTGCATGGAGACACATTGTCGGAGACTGTACGCCTCATGATGCAGCGTCTTCTAATGCGGTCATTCATGGCGGAGATCAAGTACTCCGGTTACCGCAACAAACACGGATTCCGGAAAACGAAGCTATTCACCGAAATGCAAGATTAGCGACCTCGGTCCTTTCATCCCTGTCATATCTGCTCTATTAAAACGAGTCTAAGGAAGCAATGTGTCACCGGATGACACAAGACAATATGTCAGGAAATACTTGAAATCGATTCGTGACAACGTATGCCGCGACTCTGGTAAAGATAATGCAAGCAGTTAGCAGGTATGAAATGGTGGATTACTTATTAACTGTTC